ATTTTTATTATTCATTATTTTCACTTGACTCGCATAAATAATTTTGTTCGAAGGACATTTATATGCAGTTGTACTTCGCAGCACTTCACTTGCAATTTGCAATTTCTAGTTTAGGCCTATATTACTGTACCTTTTTTTGACAAGAAGTTTGATCATTTTTTCAAGCAAGTCAGTTAAAAAATTAATAATACTGGTAGTAAGAAAAATAGAAGCCTTTTAAATCATACTTGCCACCAGGGCCAGGAAGAGTATTAGTTGCAGGAGGGGAGAAACTTATTCACACAAGAAATAAATGGATAGTTTATTCAAAAGAGAATGAGAATAACATATTTGTAATATTATTTATTCAAAAATATTTGCATCATAGGATTAAAGATTCTTCACTTTATCATCCTATTTTTGTTTGAAATTTTCATATTTTTTAAGCTAAGCATGATAAATGAAGCTATATTTTACAGATCTATAAGTTTGACTACACTCGTGATTAGTAAAAACATGGTAAAATTCAGTATATAGATCTATTTGGGAAAGGGGAGGGGGAATTCTTACAATTAGTACAGTACTGTAGGCCTATAAATGTAAGATATTTACAGACATCAAAACCATAATTAGTAATTGTTAAAATACATGAACTGCATTACCTAGGTATATCGCCTCCATTAATTGACAAACACTATAACATGTTGAGTAAATACTGTACAGTTTAAAAAACATAATGAATTTTAGAAAAGAGTTTCTACATATTGATGAGTGTCTTGCTATCATCTGTTCCAAATGTAAAAGCTAAGTGCAAGATTGAAATTAATTCATTGTTTTTATAAATTACAGATTAATATAATTCACATAGCTATTACAGAACATGCCCGCATTCCATCGTGATCTGTAGAGTAGGCTACTGTTCCCTGTGGCATGTTTAGTATTTCTATACCTCCATGGTATTTTCTACCATGCTAGGAAAATGTAATTCTGGAGTTTAATTCTGACAAGTAGAAGACCTTCAATAAATCAACTGCTAACTAGATAAGATTTCTTCCCATGAGTCTCAGCTTCTCACCATGTTTCCAAATTATGATTTCTCAGTAATAGAATTGCTCAAAAGGTTGTAACAGATTCAGATTCTTTTATGTCATAAAGCATGTATTCATAACAATAACTTTAATTTAAAAGGAAAAAAACTTGTATGACCATAAATTGTTTTTCATAAGGATGGGACCTGATATGTTGATAATTTGCCATTATCACAATATTAACATTTTTATAAGGAAATAAATTATCTCTTGTAATTTGTTAAATAATATCTTAGATACTTGTGATTTACTTTTTATACTTTACCTTTTGTAACTAAATTGGTTTACTTTGTGATGTTAAATGTTTTGTTTGAGCTGGTTCTATACTAAAATATTTAAATACACAATGAATACCCAATGTAAATTGATGAAAAAAAATCAGCTAGCACTTATATGAAACACATTGCAATTTAACAAACCACAATTAAAATACTATAAAACAAATTACCTGAATTCAAAATGTTTCAAAAGCAGATGCCAAAGGTTTGCATAAATTGCTAAATTCGCTATCGAGTATTAAGTTTAAAAAATATGCCCCCAATCATCTTATAATCTTGCCAAAATTTCATCCTTACTGAATGGTAATTAATAGGCCTACAATTTGTGTACAGATAATCCTATTAAATAAAGCTAGCTACTGTATAGTTAAAGGTCACAGGGAGTTGAACTTGACCTAATTCTAAACTAAATTACTGTACAAATGTTAAAATCACATTCATTTTAATTAAATAATCCATTGTGAATTCATTTATTCATGTACGCAATCATACACATTCATTATCTTGTGGCGTACATTAAAATTCATTGTGCTGTAATTTGGAGGATAAAATGAATCATGATTAAAAGTTAAATAGATCAAACATGAAAATATCTAGTGTTTCTCACAAAGTTTAGAATTTCCTACAAATAATTATATAATTTAAATTCTTATACAGTGACACAGATCATCAACTTTCAAGTGGAATAATTTCCTAAAATAAATTATTTCAGCAGATGTTTTCACATGAAGTACAGTATCTCTTTAAAAAGAAACAACCATTAATTAGGGTTTTGCAATGAAGCTGATCTTCCAGTGCTGTTTGAGAAAAAAAAAATTAGATTAAGAATTATGAATCATTTAGGTCTTCATACCACAATGTTAACCAATAAATTCTGTCTTTTATGAGGCTTTGTTAAGAGTAGTTTAATTGTCTATTGTCGCTATTTTTTCTCCTTTATTTTGCTTCTCAATAAATTTACAAATAATAGTCAATAAAATGTATACACAGTAATATAAATATAAGATAATTGAAGCATTATGACAGGCCTACTGTACATTATATTATTCAGAGTTTTAGCTACAGAAAACTATGGTAGGTGGTAGACATGTTAATGCTGGGTATGTGATAACATTGGTAAACTTTAGAGTGAATTTTAAGGATGGACAAGGGGGTTAATAAAGTTCCATAAAATAAGCTTTAGACTGTGTTGGAAACTTCAAGACTGAGTGACCCAGCCCACTTTGCCCATCATAACTACATCCCTGATTATTATCAATTCTTATTGTTAACAAACATGCCAACCTTACAAGGCCAACAAGATGAGTCTGAAAAACTTCTGAGCGGAGTTTTGGCAATGTGTGGAGTATTTCTAAGACATGGTACCAATGTGATCGGATTGTTTTGACCCACAATCAGCAATACCGCCGTGCAAGACTAGGCCCTAGGCCTAGGCAGAAAATCAACATCACACTAATCACAACGAGCCTACCGTAGGAATCACCTACAGTAGTTTTGATTTCTAACTGACAGAATACTTTCCGCGAATAAATTTTACGTATACAGTTCAGAGTAAAACTTTGACAGTGATTGGTCAATGAAATTGGTTTTTAAAAATCAGTAGACCGTAGAGCGTGAATTACTATTTTGTATTCAGTTCAGAGCGCTGTTTTCAGGACGAAATTAAATGGTCATGTTCTTATCTAAATCATAGGATTATCATTTCTATTCAGAAATGCGCGATTTATTTCAGCTGGCCAAAATGCGTAAAAAGAGGAGATTTTCGACCCAAAATCAGAGTGCGGTGTTTTGCTTAAATAAAAGGAGAAACTCCGCCAAAATCTGAGTGGCTGGCATGTCTGTGTTAACTTTATATTTTTTTTAAATACAGGACTACACTCACACTCTGAGTGATTTGTACACTAGGGTACAACCTTCTTTCTGGGTATCATTTAATATTGCCATGGGATGAGTGCTATCTGGTGGAAGGCTCAGAGAAATGGAAAGAGAGCAGAAATAGAATTGAGCTAGGAGAGCTTTGTCCACACTATCAAATTTTCTTTAAAATTTATCACCATTCTCACAACAACAACAACAACAACAACAACAACAACAACAATAATAACAATAATAATAATAATAATAATATTTTTAATTTCCTCAAAAACAACAACAGGAGGAGGGAGAAGCCAAAAGGAACAAAGTATCTATAAAATGTTTGGCAACCCCAAAACATCAACCATGAAATACAAGCAATTGAAGAAAAGAAGTCACTACAACAAGCAAGGACACCTAGCAGAAACAAAGAAACATTGATGAAGAGATCGTCTTAAATATAATAAAGTAACTTCTATTACACTTTCTCTTACAGAATGATTGACCATCGAAATGCTTTGTAATTTTTTGGCAATGCCAAAACCAAAATTATCTTTACGGTTTACTGCACCTTTCAATCAATTCAAATACGTTTTTAGCAAGTGCAAGGTTGTTTATGTCAACTGATTTTTAAAATTAAAAAAAAAATATTTTATTTTTTTCATCATCAGATACTGTAAAGTTTCGTCCAGATGATTAAATTTTCATTGACTAAAAACTGTTGTAAACCCATGTCATGATGTGCATATGAGGCTTGGCATCCCAGAAACAGTGTACTATCGCTATTATTAATTGCTAAACTGAGTAATTAGCGTAAGAATGAGTATAGGGAATCCGTAATACTTTTACTCATAACTTTGGCAATAATAAAGTCGATTCCAGTAAATGATAGCTTATTTATATGTGGAAAATAAAAATATATCAAAAAGTCAATTTTCATTTTTTGGTCACTGTAGGTAGTTTTTTGATGGCAAGTTTCATCATATGGTTATGATGCAAAGATACTAGAAATACAAGATAGAGCACTCGCATAGCAATAATGAGGCAAAAATTGGTCCAGACGTACGCGGCGCCATTCTGCTATTATAGTTTTCTATACTTGGTCCAGACGTACAGGGCGCCCTTCAGTTGCAAGGTATAACCAGACGCACGCGGACCCCTTCTTTTGCCACTAATGGAGGAAAACTTAATCACTAATCAGAGTCCGGTCATACGATTCTGCGCTTTTGTGTCTGTCATTTTATTGTTTTGATTTATTTATGCCTACTTTGTTTGTATCTTATGGATAATGGCAACGATTTCAACCTCCACAAAAGGAGGTATGTATTCACAGTTATGTAACGGTGGCAGAGGTTTTTTACATTCAGCCGTACGCGGCGCCCCATTGTTTGTATTCCCACCACACATTTCGGTGGTACAGTTTTGTTCTGTGGAGAACTCTATCTTGTGTTTCTAGTATCTTTGTTATGTAATGTCATCTTGACCATTAGGATGACTAAGCTATGATGCTAAAATATACAGTTTTAACATCCTTAGAGTAGTTCATTCTAAGACTATTATTACTGTATACAAATAAATCATTGTTTATTAGTCCCCTCCAAGATTATTATATAAACAAAATAATTATCATTGTTTATCTTCTACTGCAGTTTGGTTTGCTAGCTCCTATGGTTAGTACATTACATAAATGATGTAATGTTCTTAAAACACTGACAACTGACAAATAATTGAAAATATTAATTAGGCCATGTGATATTAATTTTGATATTGTTATAATTTATAACTCTTTTGTATACTGTACCATGAATAGAGTATCTTGCACACACCATCTCCTTTAGGTCTACTCAATATTATTAATTATCAACTGTCTGTAAAGATTAATATCAATTTGATCTAGTAAAGGTCATTGCATTGAACAGGGTCAACTAAACAAGCCACTAATTAGTTGCCATGGCAATAAATGACCATGTTTAATAGTTTAACTCACTGACATTTGACAAATTGCCATCCTATAGTATTGCCATGGGAACAAGACCTTTGATACTTGATGCATGGATTACCACATAGGATTGTACCTAAAATTTATTGGAGGGAATGACAGATATTTCTCATTGGTTTAAGACACAAACCAAATATTATTGTTCAGTATCATTAGGCCAAATTTTTAAAAGAAAATACTTCAGTGTTTCCTTCTTTCTTTTTAAGCCATCTCCAGAAATCCAAACATTGTGCGTACCCAGTTTCTGCCACATGGCTCCACTCAAAGCCACTGTTTGTATGGTCTGAGGAAGATTTTGAAAGGGGGTCCATTCTTTAGTGAGCGGTCAATTGCTAGCTTCACATCACCGCCCTTATCAAATTTTGGATACATCCGTAGGCCTACCGTACTGAAATACCAGAAATTTCTGTGGCATGTAGTCATTACAGAACAGGATAAAAAACAAATATAAAACGGTCGAAATGGACTGAAAAGAAATCATAATCTATAAATCTGCCAATACACATTCATATTCTTGGTTTTAAATTTTTTGCTATGCCATGGGGAAGAGGATAGGTGAATTCTCTTTTGCCAACCCTTGGATACTCCCTATTTGTAATGAAAAAACATTTTTTGCTTCTGACCACAAAAATTATCTAGATGAATTTCCTCTAAAACCAATGTTACATCACACTAATACAATAGCACTTGGCTGAAGCAAGATATTTTTTATCCCTGAATTACTTCCAGTAAATTGCACAATGATTTGATCCCTAGTTCTCAGGTTAATGCAATTTTTTCAGCCCTGAAGAACCCAATATATCCTCCTCTTAAAAAAAATGCCTTGGATGATCAGTATCGGTTTTCTTTAGCTACAGTAATAATAGATTGTTTTTTATCTTTAAATAACCACTAATAGTTTATCAGGAAACCTATTAGTATAATTCAACCTATTAGTATAATGCATGCTGTTAATAATTAATAATCATTGATTTACAATTCAAAAAAAGAAGCAGCAAAAACAAAGATGATGACATACAAAATGACCAACAATGAGATCAATAGTAGAAGTCTGTAGACAATTTATCTGAATAACATCTCAATTTATGGATTACAGATTAGGGATTAAAGTAACTATAGATACTGCAGTCTTTTTATATTGACTACCTACCATGATCATTCTCATTTTTCTACAATACACTGCAACCTTAATAACTGTTCATCTTTTTAAGAATGTATGTAATTTAGGAGAAGAAAAAATTAATTTTAGATAAAATTTATTTATAATATGCCAATAAATCTTTTTTTTTTAAATATTTATTTAACTATATCAGTGTAGTCTTTTGTGTATTACGAGAACCAATAGAACCACTGAGATCATGACTTAGTCTTAATCCATCAATTGTAATGGTCCTACTATTTTTTTGTATTGTAATTTGTACAGCTTTAGTGCAGTCAAATATCTAAAACCTATAATCACTAACAAACTGCAAACAAAGGCATTCCCAAAGAGACTAATTTCTAATCTATAAAAGACACAATCGGTGACCCTGAGCTAGTGGTCTAAAGACTTCAAATGGGAGAAGCTAGCAATACGATGAAATGTAAAAAAGATTCAAGTATGTAGTCAGCATTCAGAACGAACTATATATCCCATCACTGCAGTTTGGGTGCTGGTTTAGTGAGACCCTAAAATTTCAGAATATACAGCCTTTACAGGAAAATGCCTGCTTAAAGTAATGTTCTATGCATTTTTTTTTTACATTAAAGAATATGTTGACTTTATTTCTATGTATTTTCTTTATTTCTATCCATGGATACCTGGGCCAAATAGTAATAAAATGGGTCCACTTTTTGAAAAATGGGTCCATGTTTCTTATATTGGTCATATTGGTCCAGATTTTTTTACACTTTTGTAAAAAATGGGTTCACATTTTTTGAATTTACGCGTAAAGTGGGTCCACCCTGATATTGTCCTGCACTGTTTGAAAATCCTGGCTACGGCATTGATTATGCATTCTGGTAATTCAAATAATAGGCCTACTATTATGTTAGAGTAGTCAAACTTTGATTAGTGAAAGTTATTTTTTTACTCCTTTTCACCAATCTGTGCGTACATCCTTTAGTTTATGACGCATGCCATCATTCCTCCAACCGGAGAATACGCACAGAGACGATAAAACTAAGTAGACACAATAACTGTACTAGACCCAATGATTTAAACATTGGGAACTTATCACTTTGTTTTAGCTTAGTATATTATTCTAGAAGTGGGCGGCTTTTAATTTGTCAGCATACAAATAGAAAAAAACCCACGAACAGATATATATCCAGTCTCTTAAAAGAATGAAAACAATAATAAATAATGTTTATATAGCACAAGAGACAGTAGGTTCAAAGTGCTCGGATTTAACATTAATCAATCTACAGGTCCATGGAGGTTTAATCTTATTAAAGTGGTCTCCTTTTAGAATCGCACAAGTTAGAAGACGCCATCATAAAGTTCAAAAATATCAATAGAAAATTTAAAGCTTTCAGGTTCTACCTGTATGTAATGAACTAAATTACTTGCTTAATCTGATTGGGTTCAAATTATCAATCTATTTCCCCAAGTTACCTCAAAACCAATTTCAACTCATATTATTAAATAGAATTTTATGGCATAAACCATTTATCTACTTAATTTCATCTGTCATTTGACACATTCAAAATTATAGAATTAATTTACTGTAGAGTCAAATGAAATATCATACAAAAACCATGCCATCAGACAGAGAAGTGTTTTCCAATTAATCATGATGAAAATATTATAGCTCAGAGGTTAAAACAAGTCTTATACAGTAAGCTGGGCACTATGACGGCCGTACAACAAATCCAACTCCGCTTCCCAGGGGTAGATTCCCAGCCTGGTTTCCACTCCCCCACCCCACCCACCTTTGTAAAGTTAAAAAACAAAGGAAAAAAAAAAGAAAAGGAGAAAATTGATCGGCCAAAATGTCTCAGAGGTTATTTTTGGAGGTTTATAAAACAAAAACTTAACAGGGGCATTCTTCCAGACCTGTTATCTCAATTGGCCCCCACTTTTGGCTCCCTTTTGGACATCCCTGGTTCCGCCCCCTGCTTCTGTGACTGCTAGACAATGTGACGCCGTCTACCGATCGTTGGCGGCAGTCTGAACAGATCATCATTAAAAAAGGATCCATTGTGCACGTGCCGTAGCATTGTGATCGTTATAAAATCGCCTCGCCCCATGATGGTCGCGCGCAGTGAGTGGCCAAGCTTTAAGATTTTCCTGTCCAATCCTAAACTTTATGTCTGCTTGTTAGTAGATTAAATAGAAAGATAGATTGATTTTGATTTTTTAACAATAACAGTAACAATGATAATAATAATCATAACAAGAATAAGAAAATAATAATAATAATGAGATGATTAGCTTCCCTTTACTCCACCAAGCTAGTGTTAAGCCTGGTTTCCATAAAATCACTACACGCTATCGCCGACTCCTTTGGCAATGCTGGTTGGTTAGTTCAAACAAGGAGCGTTCCCAATTAACATCTCGACGAGATTTGATTGACAGAAAAACCGACTAATCAGTGAGCGTCATTTAGTCACATGATCAAAAACTTTTCCTCGGTAAGTTTAGCCGCCATATTGTCTAAGGTTTTCGTGACTTTGTGGGTGGGGCTTTGCATCCTTGTCGACATGTCAATTGCGTAGGGGACTACTACGCATTGCAAGGATTGCAGGAAAAATGCTGTAACGACTATGTAGTGATAGTATGGAAACTGAGCTTTACTGTAGTTTTGCTAGCTGTACTGTATAGTACAGTAGGTCCTACTGTAAGTGTGGGTGGTAACGGATTAACTACTGTAAGTAATTAAAGGCTAGCCTGTTCGGCATCACTGAATTCAAAGTTGGTAGGGCGAGCAGTTGTAGTTTGCAAGGGTCAACAGATGCGGATTTACTATACTGTATATCAATGCTGATGGATTTTTTGCTTCTTGCGCTAAAGTTTGTTAAAGAGGTATATGTTTGAACACTGGAATTTTCAGCAATGTATTGGCTTACATCAATCAGTCCAACGCTGTGTCTGACCATAGACCAAGTCGCAAGCAAAGACCAATGGTTTCAGCATACTACATGGTAGAGATCTTAGTGAGATAATGTTCTAACAGTACCACCAGATATAGTTGATGTACTGTATGTTTATTACCGTATCCTTCTGCCACCATCATTCCACCTATAGTAAATCAATCTGTCAACTCAGCCCTCAAGCATGGCCTCAAGCTACAGTATTTTCATGCTACATTTCTCCAGAATCCAAGGAGTGCTCCCAGCCCATCAAGGTTTATTTATGGTTTATCAATTACACAAATTACACAAGGAAACTGCTGTAGGTGATGGTGATGTGTGTGGAGGTTTTTGTCTTGTGCTTGTGAAAAATTACAAATGTGTCAATCACCATTATATAGAATAGGGACAAGAGACACCCAGGCATTCATTCTATGCTCTAGCCTTCAGGGTGTCCGCTACTACCCTTGCATTTCTTCCTGTCAGACATTGCATCATGCTCATTTTATCTAGAACCATGTTTTGTAGGTTATAGGTATTAGAACGTTGGTTATAAGGTCTAAAAATTGCTTACAGTGAAGGAATTATGTAGATCTAGTAAATCTAGAAAGAAATGTAACTTTCTAAAATTGTACAGGGAATTTTGTAGTCTGCAGATTATCGACAACTGAATATATTCAACCTGTGCCCCATACAGTATTCACTTAAAGTTACTATGGAAAGGGATAACCAATGCTTGCAAATTTATGATTTTATTAAACATTAGGTCTAGGCCTCTTCATATTATTTTGT